AAATATTTTAAAGTTAAATTACATATTAAAAATACAATTTAACTATTATAATTATTAAATTATTTTTAATAAAATTTTTTATATTTATTTATTAAGAATTCTTGAGTAACTTTAGTATTCGTAACTATATTTTTAACATATAATTTAAATTAAAATACATAAAATTCAATTAAATAAAATAAATTAAAAAAAAAAAAAGGAAAAAGAATTGATACGCACGTACAAGACTGAAAAGTCCATTGGCCGAATGAGAAAACACTGAGAGTCCGGCTGTGGTAGAGGGCCCACAACAATACATTAATGACCTCACAAAGTATAGGATAAGGGTTTGTCTAATATTGGCTTTTAAGGCTGCGAGTTAAAATATATTTATTTTATTAAAAAAATAGAAGTTAAGGTGTTTTAAATATTAAACGATTTAATTTTGATTGTATAATAAATAAGTTTTAAGAAGAATTTACATTATATTTCATTATTTTATGGTTATAATTAAATATTTTGATATTTTTAAAGTTAAAATATTTTATATTTTAGATAATTTTTATTATATTTTATAAACATTAATTTACATAAAAAATAAAAAACTGAACATTAATTTGATTCTCATGTCATATAAATATTTTTAAGTAAATAATTAATAAAATTAATGTTAATTTTACTTTTATGTATGTATAAAAAATAAAATAAAAATACTTTTAAAATTAAAATTTTTAAAAATTTTAATTAATTTATATTTTATTAATTTATAATTTTTTAAATGATTAATTATAATTTCTAATTATAAATTAATTTTAACATATTCATAAACAGTAAAAATTATCTATTTTATCAATTATTTAAGTGTTTTTAATGGCAACTAAATAATTCAATACCTTTAAAAAAGATGACAACAAATTTGTGTGGCCTTATTGTGTGACAATTACCATTTCCTTGATGGTCCAATTAAGAATATTTTGGAACATAAAAAAAAATTAAGAATATTTTGGAAAGAAGTTCAAAGCATATGTTCGACCCATAATTATATTCAACGTGGCTTGAACTAATCAAATTCCAGAACTCCCAAGGAGGGCTCCACCGATCGCTGCTCCGGCGGGTCCTACAGGCAGACCAGACACGGCTTTCAGACCGTGTTAAAATCCCGACCGCCATCGTTTACAATTTATGACCTTCAACCGCCGGCGATTTCTTACGTGCCTCCTAAACGCGCCTCCACGTGATCGTTGACCAGTCCAAGTGTCCCGTAAAGTACAACCGAGTAAAATGACCTCCCAGTGGACACGCAAACACGACTCCAACTTGACCTTCCCGTTTCACACAGCAGCTTTCATTCATCTCTCAAACCCCGACGGATTCTCCAGCCACCGTCTCTTCTCTATAATTGCCTTCCTTTCCGGTGTTGCTGGTGCCGTCTCTGTCGTCCCCCACCTCAGGAAACGACAGACGTATTGCAGCCGCTGTTCAGGTGACCAAAATTCGCTTCTTTTTCATTTTGTTATCTGGGTCTTTTTTGGGAACCAATTTTGGTTATCTAGGTTTAATATTAATAGTGATTCGTAGTATTGTTTTTTGGGGAAAAAAAAATCAAATTTGACAATTTTAGCAAACCCAATTGCAGTAAACGGCACTTGCTATTGTAGAAATAACTGTTTGTAGTGATAAAACAAAATTTTACCTGTCATGGCTGTATTTTGAAAATAGGGCGGTTTGGGCTATCGAGGGATATACTTGGTGAAATTTTTCATGCGTGTTTGTTGGATTTTAGCATTTTAAGAATTCTGTATTATAGCTTGAAATGTTTAGTTTTACTTATTTTGCAGTTAGCTAATTGGCATGCGAGCGATTTAGCTGGAAGTCGTGGAGTAGACTGTGCAAGAGAAATTTTGAGTTGAACAAAGTTGGAGTCTTTGTGGAAACAATATTTCCAATGGATTCAATAGACTTCAATATTGGACTTGAAGATGTGGGTATAGCAGTGTTACAGGAATTATGGAATAGGGTAGCAGTTCAGGCGGTGGAGCTTGTTAGTGAAACTAGAGATTTTGTGCTTGAAAAGGACAGCTTTCAGGAATTCTCTAGGAGTATCTCTGAGTTGAATGGTCTTCTGCAGGCATTGAATGTGAGAAAAATTGCAACTGCAAATGGTTTTGAGAGTACAAAGGCTGCATTAGAGACTTTGAATGGTCAGCTAAGGAAAGCCCGCAAGATAATCAGAGATTATAAAGCTGGAAGTCGCATCTGGCTCTTGCTTCATTCTCATTCGGTGCTCTCACAAATGCGAGAATTGGCTAAAGAGATTGCTGTAACAATTTCCTCATTTCAGTTAATTAATCTTGATGTAGCGTCAAATATAAAGAGCATGACCAACCAGGTCATCAATGATTTAAGGTCAATGGAGTTCAGAGCAGCCGTAGCAACAGAAACAATTGCTTCAGAGATAGAGAATTCTATATCCCAGAGTAGCAGAAACAAAGAGCATGCTATGAAGCTCCTGGAGAAGATAGCAGAAGCTGTTGGTGCTAATGCAAATGCATCCATGGTACAGAATGAGTTGGCTCTTCTGAAGCAGGAAAAAGAAGAGATGGAAGCTCAAAAGAAGCAGGCAGAGGCACTTCAACTATCTCAACTAATACAGTTGCTATACAGCACAGAAATTGTTACGAGGCCACAAAATAATGACACTGTTGCATACCATCAGCTATACCCCATTGACTCATTCACATGTCCATTGTGTAGAGAGATGATGACAGATCCAGTTGCAGTATTTTGTGGCCACAGTTTTGAAAGGAAGGCAATTGAGGAGTATTTTGGCAGGGGGGAGAAGCAATGTCCCATTTGCAGGGAGGAGCTTCGATTGTTAGATCTTACTCCAAATATTAATCTTCGAAACTCCATAGAAGAATGGAAGCAAAGAGATATGGACTTAACATTTCAAGCAGCAGTCTCTGGTTTGAATTCTGATGACAATTTTAGTAAAAACAAGGCATTAAATGATATGCAGGTCCTAGTTGAAATGCCTCACTATGCACTGAAAGCATCGGATGAAGGACTTATCTCTAAATTTGTTGAGTCCTTGAAGGACAATAGTCTAAGCACTGTGGCAGCATTGAAATGCCTTTACTGGTTGGCTAAATCTGGTGATAATCAGAAGGTAAGCCAGGATTTGTTTTTGATTTGAGATTTTGGATTTCCATTTTATTGTTTGCATAGCCTAAATGTAACAGTTCTAATTCTTTGGAAGTTGCAGCAAGCAATTGTTGAAGCGGGGGCTGTTCGCTGTATTGTAAAGCAGATTTATAAAGGTGAAAGAGAAGCTGATGCTACTGCAGTCTTGTTGGAACTATCTAAAATTGAAACCCTTGGAGAGAAAATAGGGAACACAAAAGACTGCATCCCTCTTCTGGTTTCTTTGATCAATAATGACAATCCTGATGTCTCACAGAAAGCAAAACACATATTGCAGAATCTTTCCTCCAATACACATTTTGTTGTGAAGATGGCTGAAGCTGGTTATTTTCAACCATTTGTTGCTCGCTTTAATCAAGGTGAAAAAGTATATCTGATATGTGATTATTAGCCAACCACCAAAAGGGAGAAAAGCTGTAACTTGTACTCATTCTGCAATCCTCTTTTTGTAGGGCCCCAAGAGACTAGAGCTTTGATGGCTGCAGCCATGATAAAGATGCAATTGAAGGAGAATAATGTCAAGGATTTGAAAGACATGCAATTTGTGAAAAATTTAATTCAGATGCTTTCTTCAAACTCTCCAGCATACAAATCAGCTTGTCTGAAATGCATCAAGAAGCTCATTGGATACCGTAAGATGGTGAAACGATTCTTGTCAGACCCTGGAGCTGTGCCAGCCTTGCTTGGTCTGATATCCTTTGTCACATCTGATCCACATTTGAAACAAGAAGCTGCTGAGATTCTTGCTCTAGTGGTTGGAGCTTGCCAACATTCTCAATTTCAAATGTGTCAGGGATTGCAGGAGCTACGATCAGAGCACAATATCAATATTTTCTTGCACCTTGTAGCAAGTTCTGATCCTCAGACCAAGATTCAGTTCTTGCACCTGCTGGTTGAGCTTTGCTATAAATCAGAAACAGCCAGAGACCTGATACGATGCAACACTGATGCGATCAATCAGCTTTTCCTTTCCCTTGATCATGGTGACCAGCCTGAAGTAAGAAGATGGGCAATGAAGCTAATAAACTGTATTTCAGAAGGGCATTCTGCTGGGGTTCCTCTCCCACCCTCCCCTAGAAAGGAAACTGCCATCCAAACCCTCACAACCATATTGATTCGTTCACCAAATGTCCAAGAAAGGTCCCTGGCTGCTGGAATCATCAGCCACCTTCCTAAAGATGATACAACCATTGATGAGATACTCCGCAAATCAGAAACATTAAAAGCCATCCACGAGGTGATTTCCTGCACAGATGGGGAACTTGGGATCAGATCAACTATTAACCATGACAAGTCTCTACTTGAGAATGCTTTAGCAGCGCTTTTACGCTTCACAGAACCAACAAAGCCTGACCTTCAGAGGCAAGTGGGAAAGCTTGAACTATATCCATCACTTGTTCGAGTCCTTTCCACTGGCAGCTCACTAGCCAAGCAACGAACAGCCATAGCACTTGCCCAACTATCAAAATCTACAAATTGGGCAATCTCTGATGCAACTGTTGTGTCAAAACAAGCCAAGGACTCCATGCCACTGATTGCCCTAGCAAAGCTCTTTCCTAATATGTCCTGGTGCTGCTCAGCATCTTCTGATAATGAGATGTCATGTTGTGTCCATGGTGCTGCTTGTTCACAAAGACATACATTCTGCCTTGTCAAAGCAGATGCACTGAAACCTCTTGTCCGAACTCTGAGTGAGAGGGACTCAGGTGTGGCTGAGGCTGCCTTAATGGCACTGGAGACATTGTTAGCAGATGACAATACTTCATCACATGCAACTGCTGCAATCGTAAACAGTGATGGTCTAGTGGCCATCCTAGAAGTCATGGAGAAGGGGCCTCTATCTGCTAAGGCAAAAGCTTTAGACCTCTTCCATAAGATAGTGAACTATACAGAGATTGATGATCAATTATTTCAAAGATGTGAGAGGATCCTCATCCAACTGCTTCATGAGGATGAACTCAAGAAGAGAGCAGCACTAGTGCTAAGGCAGATGAATGTCATCCCAGAGCAATCTTCATATTTCTGAATTGGTTTTCTTGTGTAAATTTGGGCCTAGAGTTGTTTTAGAGGTTGCTCTCCTGATGTGGAATTGTGAAGCTCGCCACAATTATAGGCACAGTCTGAAAGACCTCAGAGAACATGAGATTCAGGAAGAGAGATTTTGCATAGACTTTCAGTTTGGAACTAGCTGAGCACATTCATTCAACATGATAATTTTTGGGATCTGCTTGCCATAAGGTAATTTGTTCTATTTAGTCATTGTAACTGTAAATGTTTCTAAGAATAGCTGAACATGTGAAGTGCTTAATAACTCATAAGATGATTAGGAAAAGAGCATGTATTTCAGTTGTGGATTTTTTTAACCATGTATAGAAGCTGCACAATCTTACTAGGATATAGGATATGAAGAAAGTCCAGTACATAGGCTGGCTGAGACTTGTGTTCTTTTGTTTGTACTGTAGCATGTAAAGATCTGCATTATTTTACATGGTGAAAACTGGGAATATTGCAATCTGAACTTGTATTCCAGCTTCATATTCAATAATTAAAATAATTCTTTTTATGAATCTAGCTTGGAAGAACCACGCCTCACAAACTAACTATTGAAGAGGGAGATGCAAACACTATATAACCTCTCATCAAAATCACACAATGTCATTCATGTATCCAAGTCACCACACGGTTGGATTCTAACATCCCACCTCGCTGTGCAGCCCCAAGGCCCCCAACGTACATGCAAGCTCCCTGTGCACTAGTCACTTTTTAGCCCAAGGCAAACGTTGTGGTTTCTTAATCTTTAGATAAATTAAAAGCACTTAAATCCTCCAAAAATACTTATAACACCTAAAAGCTCAAACCTTAAAGTCCGCTTTTAAGCCCAAAAGAAACCTCCTCTTGGTCATTTACTCTTATAAGCCACTTGAACATATAATTGAGATAAAATAATAAGCGTTTCCCCAAAAATCCCCCTTTTGTCTACCGTATGGCAGATGTACTCAGCTGTGCTGCTTACTTTGTAACAAAAGCAAGAAAATGACTTCCTTAACGACCCTTTTCTTTCTTCCAAACGGTCACTTCCTAGTAGAATAGTTGAAATAACATTAATAGAATAAAGAGATGTGCCCTAGACTATACGATTAACAAGAAAGAGGGATGTTTTTCTACACAAATGAGTTAAAAGTAATGTCTTAAAAAATTATCAAGGACTTCCCACATTAAAGGTCAATCAAGTGTGTTTGTTGACAAAAAAGATAGATACAACAACTAAAAGGAAACTCAAGGCATAACAATTAAAAGACAAATGAAAGCTAAAAAGTGCTATGAAACATACTTAAAATGTAGATTGGACTGAGGTGATGACAAACCTACATATCAACCAATGCAAACTAATGATCTATATTTGTAGATTGAAAATAAATTTGTAGACATATAAGGAAAGCTAAATTACAAACTAGATTATTTTACTTGTAGATTAGACAGTAGAAATGTAAAAAACAGATGAAAGTACATAGGAGTTTTGAAGTATAAAGAAACATGATTCCATTAACATCGCTTGAAAATAATTGAAAAACTCAAATCAACTATAATATCAAATTTAAAATTTAATATTGATGGATTTATAGACTAAACCCATGAAAAGAACCTAAAAAGACTAAAAACATACAATAATTACAATATAAACATGAGAACTGGTCTCAAACCCTAAAGACTAAGCAAGCTAGAGTAAAATAACAAAAGCAAACCTACAAGATGAAGTAACAATTGGTCTCAAGAATTCTGCCTGGAAAACGTGCTGTAGATTTTATTTTATTCTATAAGAACTCTTGCGCTAGGCAACCCTTCAACAAAACAAAAGATTCAAACTAAAACTATGAATAAGAACTAGATTCTTAATTGTAATCTAAAAATCTACGCTAAAGGTTAGTTGATCAAATTTATAATGGAAATTGCAACACGCTGAGCGTCTTTCTAAGTGGGGTAGGCCTAAAAAATTGATCTTTGTCGAAGGAGGTGCTTTTATCTTGCTGTTGGAGGTTTTTCCCATGTTTTTTTTCATCTATTTCTCACCACTTTCTATGCCCAATTGGCTTCTTCTTCGTTTTGGCAGCAACAGTTTCCTATTTTTACTCCAAGTCTTCTAGCTGTATTTGGCCCCTTCAATAACTCTAATCAACCCTAGCATAGTCCCTTCCTAAAATCTCCCTTAGTCCTCTAATTCAAATAAAATTTGATTAAAGGAAGAGATATGCATCTTATATTATCATGCGGGACCCACCTCCATGCCACCACTAGTCTAGGTAGCGGACTACACCATATTAGCCTCCAGATCAGTTGCAACTTAGTGATGTGATATATCTCAAACTCATCTACAGTCTCAATTGGACACGTGGTGTTGGTCTACCATAAGAATTTTTTTTTTTTTGAATAGGAGAAATTTAAGGGTTAGAGATATGTTATTACAGCTTAAACTTTTAACTAACATAATTAAAGTTATGGGTGTGATTTACCATAATAATTGTGATATGGATGGTAGAAAAGCTATTTCTAAACCACTGTAAAATCTTGTTGATATGACAATTTCAAATTAAGTGTTATTTATGGTATAAATAAAAAGATAGAATTGGAATACATCAAAAAAAAAAAAGATAGAATTGGAACATTGTTTCTAAATCAAACCACAAATGATTCTGTGTGTTTCACAAATTATTAATTTTGCCGCGCTGCCTTGTGTTCGTTTTAAAATAGAAAATTAAAAACCACAAATGATCAGAGTAAAAATTGTTGCTGGTTTTTGGTACAGAGGTTAGTGATAAATCTCTGCATTTGTCTAGTAACATTGTTGCTGGTTCTTGTATCATTAGCAACCAAAAACTGTTTTTATTTCATTTACTATCTTTAAATCGAATTACACAAAAGCTGAAAACCGCAACTCCACAGCTGAAAAACCTAAATGCTGAGAAAAATTGGAATTGATTCACAAGAATTGGAGTATTTTATTAGCAATTATCGCAATAATGTTGACTAAGAAATCTTGTTGGCAAAAAGAAAAACTAATGACTCTGAGCTGGAACGTAAATGATCGCCCCTGTTGGATAGGGGTAGCTCCACGGAGGGTAAATGTGGGGAGGGTTTAGCAATTCAGACAGTATAAATTATCAAAATTTTAAAATGTTGGAAAGTACTATTTTGGCTTTAAATATATTATAATTTCTTAGAGAAACTTGCCCGTGCTAAGTCAAAAAAAAAAAAAAAAAAAAAATCTCTACAAACCAAGCTCTCGCTAAATAACAGTTTTTTAAATTCATTATCACACAAGGAATTAAATGCTCACTTATGCATTATTTTCTTCATTCAAATTCAGTAGTCTTATTTTTAACTTTTTGACTTTTTAAATATAAATTTAAAATAAAAATTTTATAATTTATATAAATAACAATTAAATTTTTTCATATACAATTTTTATTAAATATTTTATTTTTTTTTTTGAACATGCTATTAAATATTTTATTTAATAAAAGATCTAATTATTATTTATATAATATATTAAATTTTATTCAAAATTCATACCTAAAAATTTTAAAAATTAAATTAAAATTATTAAAATTTAAAAGAGAGAATAGTTAACAAATGGACAGTAAAAAAAAAATCAACAATTTTTTTTTTCTCTATTTTGTCAATAAATTAAATCTTGATTAAATATTTCACCTTGATTGTCCAGAAACAGCAAATAGTAGTGACTCAAACAAACATGCATTGGTACGGAAATTTTCTTTTAAAAAATGAAAGATAAATTAAATGAATATTGTTTTACGGTTGTTTAATACTAATTTGGTCAGTTAACTTTCAGTTTTATACTAATTTAGTCCCTAAACTTTATTTTGATCCAAATTGATTCTTAAACTTTTAAATTTGGCACTTCTATGTGCATCATTATGTCATTAAGGTCAATTCAATAGAGAATAAACTTGGAGATCGATCTAAAGTTTTAATCCTTATTACAATAATCAAGGATTGAATTTGGCAAATGAAAGAATTATCTCCTTCTAAAGTACACCATGTAGTTTTTGTTATATTTTAACAAAATTTATTGAGTGATATTACAGCCATCAAAAGCTTGACATTTTCTATTAGTGGTCTCAATTTCTAATCCTCAAATATGTGAAGCATTGTATCAATTTTATATTGTAATGCCCGCATCATGCTTTAAATTCTTAGTTTTGTCTCGAATTATTTTTAATAACTTTCAAGACATTTTATGAATAAAATCAATATAATAAATTTTAAAATTGACATGCACATCTAACAAGGAAAAAGAAAGCACACTAACAAACAAACAACATGTTTGTTTAAGATCACAAGGCTTTCCACAAATTCAATTAAGGTTTAAGTCTTACTTAGGTGATTAGTTGAAGGCTACCATGCAAACCCAAGGTACAAATCTTGGTGCGTACAATGGATTAATGGAAGTGGGAACATTACAAGTCATAAGTCATTGTTGATAACTCATGATTTTTAATTTTAAAGGTTCATTTGTGTCAATTTTTAAACAAGTTTTATAATTTTAAACCCTCTACTTTCTTGAAACAATTAACACTTTGAGATTTTTGAACTCTTAACCATTTAAAAAGAACATTATAGTTTTTTTTGTTAGTAGTATTGTTAAGTAAATAAATGACTAACCATCAATAGAACTCACTCAATAAAAAAATACATTTTCAAATTTTTTATAATATTTTTTAAAGTTTAATCTCTAACTTTTGGTTATTTTTATACTCAAATAATTATATAAAAATATTGGGACGAAGAAATTTTTAGAAATTTCTTTGTTCAAATATAAATTAAATAAGTTTAACTGAAAGATTTTTGAGTTAAAAAAAATTCAATTATTACAATTTAAGCATAAAATTATTAAAAAAATAATTAATGTAATAATTTAAAAATCATATAATTTAATTAATCTCTCATCTTTCATACCATCTCTATTTTCTTGTTTTTTTGGTCTTCGTCGTCATTACCAAAAGCAAGGTCCAATGGATAAAGAAAATAGAAAAAGAACTAAAATGAAATAAAATAAACAATTGAAGTATGAAAACAATAAAAATAAAAGTTAAAGGACTAAAATAAATTTCATTTGAAAATTGAGAACCTTATCCTTAAACCTTCTTTTTTTTTTTTCTTTTTTTTTATAATAAAACTAAAGAGGCAATGCTTCCACAATGTGGTCCTACCATTGCTGGTAATACCTCTGACCTCTATAAAATAATAATAAGTATAATCATAAAACAACAGCTGACAAAACAGCCTGTTAAACAAAATATCAATCTTACCATTAAGTTTAGCCAGAAATTAATTAAGAAGAAAAAAAAATAATGGTATAGATGTAAGCAGAGTACTGTAGGTTTTTTTCTTTTTTTTTTTTCCCTATAAAAGCCTTGAGCGGCATCAGTGCCAAGAGAAAAACCCCACGAAAGAATAGATGGCAGAGAATGGTGAGCTGAATGTGGAGATGACAGCAGACCGGAACCAAAACTGAAAGATCGAAAATTGTCCTGGGTCAAG